ATTAGATAATAAGGGTTCTGACCAAATGAATGGATTAATCCCTTGATGAATTTATCATATTGGGAAGTGTTGAAGTAGAGGAGGTGGGACCTGGTTGGATGAAGTAGGTAACCAAGGACATGTCCTTGTGGGATATATCTTGTTCTGATCCCGTCTTATAACCTTTTCCTGTGCTTCCTGGCCTCTAAAAGACCGATATCCCTACTTTGCCATGCCCTACCTCCCTGCCCTGATGAGTTGAACACTCTAAAACCTTGGGCTAAGTTATATTCTTCCTGCCTTAAGTTGCTTCTGCCAGGTATTTTGTCACAGTGACAAGAAAAATAACAAATACAAGAGCCCAGAAATAGATCTACCTAAATAAATGGAGTCAATTACATTTGATAAAAAATTGAGGGGAATACGATGGAACAAATACATGTTTTCATTAAATGCTGCTTGAAGTACTGGACATCCATGTGCAAAAAAGTGAATCTAGACAGAGACCACCTTGTGACCATTTTGTCACAAGGTCACAAAATTAGTGGAAAATAGATTACAAATGTAATGCGAAATTTAAAACTATAATATTTCTAGAAGTTAACAGGATAAAGTCTAGATGATCTTGGGCTTTATAATGATGATATAGTAGAATATTAAAGTGATGATCCATGAAAGCATAAACTGATAAACTGGACAATAAAATTATGATCTGCTTTTCAAAAGACAATGTATGTACATGTGAATAAATGAATAATAAAAAATTATTATTTGTCAAGGTAAAGAGAAGCCAAGCCATTAACAGGGAAAAAATATAAAGATCTGCTATTCAAAATGTACAGAGAACACTTGAAACTCAATGATAAGAAAACAAACAGCCTAATTAAAAATAGCCCAAAGCCCTTAAAATACACCTCCCCAAAGATGAAATACATATGGCAAATACGCATATGAAAAGATATTCTGTGTCAAATGCCATTTGGAAAATTCAAATTAAAATGGCAAGTAGAAGCTAGCCTTTTAGAATGGCCAAAATCTAGAACACTGATGCCATCAAATGCTAGTGAAGAGATGAAGTCTCATTTAGTGTTGATGGGAATGCAAAATGGGACAGCCACTTTGAAAGACAACTTTAGTGATTTCTTACCCAACATACTAATTACTAGGTAATCCATTAATTATACTCTTTAGTTCACCTAAAAGAGTTGCAAACTTATATTTACATCAACCCTGAACATGATGTTTTTAGCAGTTTTCTTTATAATTACCAAAACATGGAAGTAGCTAAGATAATCTTTAATCAGTGAAAGGATGGATGAGGTGGTACAATGAACAATGGAACATTATTTGGTACTAAAAAAAATGAACTATTAAGTCCTGAAAAGACATGAAGTAAATACAAATGCACAATTCTAAGTGAAAGAAACCAACCTGAGAAAGCTACATACTGTTTATTTCCAATTCTATGAGGTACTGGAATTGAAACAGTTAATTTGGAAACAGATCAGTGGCTGCCAGGAGTTAGGAAGGTGGGAGAAATGAATGAGGAGGGCACAAGGTATTTTTAGGGCAGTGAAACTATTGTGCATGATATTATACCATTATAAATTCATCCAAACACATATAATACACATACATTAAGATTCACATGGCAATCAATATAAACTATGGATGATAAAGATGAATCAATGCGTAGTTTCATCTATTCTAATGTATTACCCTCGTGACTAGTATTCATACAGGGATGTTGACATGGTGGCAGAGGGTATATGGAAAAATCTCAGTAACTTCCTCCCAATTTTGATGAGAACCTAAAACTGCTCTAGAAAGCAGAGTATACAAATAAAATCAATTAAAGAAAAATACATGTTTACTTTAGTTTCTTATTAGAAGAAGATTCTGAGAAAATAGGTGAAGAGCTCAGCTTATCCAACACCATCCCTTTCTTCATGCATTTTGCTATTTGTTGATTCTTGTCACCCATGGTTCACATTCAGTAATAGCAAATAAATTGGGTATTCATATTGGCATATTATAGGACTTTTGAAATTAATGGTAAAAGAAAATCAGAGTATATACTGGGCTAAGATTTTTTTAGAAAGATATATGTATTTCACATCTCATTTTATAAAATAAATGTGGTAATGAAACTTTGAGACTCAAATATTTTTACAAAGGAAAACAAATAAAACTGCTACAAAGGTTGCTATATAAATATGAGTGCCACTATATAATAAAAAGAATTTTCTTGAAAAACATATTTATATGAATGGTTCCTGCTTGAAAAATGTTCTGGCCTTATTGCCCGCTAGGTAAACAATATAACAAATTGCTTGAGCCATGAAACACATAATATACAGCTTATTGTATTTTATGGCTTTATTGCATCAATCTGTGCATAAAATTTCAGTAAATACATACATAGATGCAAAGAGATATGGAGATATGTGATATAAACTATATGTTTACTTCAAAACTTCACAATGCTTACACTATTAGTGCATAATTAAAGTCATATATAAACAATTTTAGGTAATTTATACACTATCCATTCTGGATATGAGTTAATGGTTAAAATTTCTATTAAAATTCATTTTCCAAACTCTTGAAAGATGCATAGAATTCATGCAATGCCTCTATAATGTTTCTAAGCTAATCACAATTAGCAACTTAACTATTCTGGTCTCTATCAAAGGTCATGTTATTCATTCTAAATACAGATATGATTTCGTGTTTGGAGTACCCCAAGGTGCCCTTTCCAGTTTATCTACTTTCTACTAGGACTAAATAGAAAAAAAAAAACATGAAAGTTTTCTTTGATTTTTTTTCCAGCGAGAATTTATTCGAAATCTGCAGAGGTCTGATCTTTTTAATTCTTTCACTCTTCTTAAATAAGTATTCCCCAAATGCTGAAAAATGCGGATTCACAAGTTCAACATAAATAAATAGCTTTTATTCATGATATAAAAAAGACCAGAACTATTTTTTGGACTTCATCAATTTTAATTCACTTGAAGCTTTGAAGAACTGCATCTGACTGAAAACAATTCTCCATTGCCTGCTTCCTAATCTTGCCTTTCCATTCCTCGCTCCACTATAGACACACTAAATATATGAGTATATTATGCATGCAAATCAACACAAAGTTATCATAGTCAAAGAATAAATATTTACTCAATAAAAGCAAACACTTTGAACCTTTATTGTATTGTTCTCGCAATAGACAGTATGTGGATATCTATGCAGAGGAATGTGCTAAACAGAGTAAAAGAAATAGTCAAAATTAGATCATCTAATGGGGATATACTAGGTGCAAAGAGAACAGAACATCTGAGCCTGAGTTCAGGATAGGGTAGGGATGAGCGATCTATAGGAAGACTTTTACAGAGAGTATGTTTTGGATTGGCAATTTGGCTCCAATGGTAGAGTGTATGCTTGGCAAGTACAATGTCTTGAGTTCAAGCCCCAGTACTGCTGAAGAAAAGAAAACAAAAAAAAAATGTGAGATTTCTTTTAGCCTGATTGCTAAATGATATGCATGAGTTAGCTTCATAAAGGGAAGATAGACAAAATTTTAAGGTAAGAGGAAGAGCAATGAATTTTCAAGAAACCAAATCAATGTATTTGGAAGATAGACCTCAAAGGCAACTAGAGAAGGGACAAGAGGCAGGAGAGAAAAGTTAGTCAGATACCATGCTTTTCATGCTTTAATCTCATCTTAATGGTAATGAAAAGAAACTAAAAATATAATAAAAATACATTTAAAAATATTATGACTTCTCTGCAGAGAACAATATAAGCAAAGGTTAAGTTGGGCATCAATAAAAAAGCAAGGCTGTTGCAACTCTTCAGGTGGGAACAGTTGGTGGTTGTCCTGCATTCACAATACTAAAGATGAAGAAATGTGAACAGATCCAATAGTTAATTAAGCACTAGAATGGCAGGAAATAATGAGTTTGAGGTAGGTGATGGTAGTTGTTGAGGGATATCATGGAATGAATGTGGCTTCCAGAAGTATGATGTGACAACTGGGTGTATATTGTCCTCATTCTTGGAGAATAAACACTGAAATGACAATAAGTGTGTGTATGTGTGTGTGTGTGTGTGTGTGTGTGTGTGTGTGTGTGAGAGAGAGAGAGAGAGAGAGAGAGAGAGAGAGAGAGATGTGGGTGTGATATGGTGAGTTCAACTTTGGAGATGCTGGATTTGAGGGCCCAGCAAAATATTCAGGCAGAAATGTTGAAAAGCTAGTCAACCACATGGAGCAATACTTTAGGGAAATGGTTGGAATATGTTTTTAGCACCTTAGAGACAATTGCAGGATTGGGAATGAACAAAAGCACTCAGGTAACATAGAGTGATGAGAGAAGAACTTGCCAAAGAAGGCTAAGGAATATCAGCACTGAAAGATTATGTAAAAAGGTGTAGTATAGAACCAAACTCATAGTGCTTTCAGAAGAAAAGAAGTTATAAAACATAACTTATAAAATATTTTTTAACTCTGATGGTAAAATGCCCAGTAACAGAAATGGAGAAAGCAAAAGAATCATGGGAATGATTAGAAGAATAATGCCACCACGCGTGCCTGCACTGAAGAATAATGACGCTGTGTCCAGATCCTAGGGAGTAACGACAAAGTCCAAAACATCAGGAAATAGGGAGAAATGTGGCAAGATATGCTTACAGAGAATAATTTCAAAAGAGTTGGTAAGAATTATACTTACGTGTGAACTTTGAACACCAAGCTTATGGTTGTTGTTTGCTTTTGCTGGGCTATACTTTCTTAGTTGCCGCCCTTCACATTGTAGGCAGTTTGAAACGCAAAGAAAGAGATTAAGTACCATAGTGGCATAGGACTCTAATATGTATCTGAATACATATTAGAGGTATCTTATAATTTCATTTTAACACAAATTTCCATCCTGAGTGGAGTGAAAAGAATCATAAATAAAACACATGAGATGGAGATTCAGGTCTCTACTAGGCATGTATCTTCACATTTTAGGGAATTTTACCTGGGAATCATGCAGTCCTAGTGGAGGACAAGGTCAGCAGGTTTGGATGCCACTGCCTATGTGAGAGAGGTGAGGGCCACATTTGCAGTTTATAATTCTGGTCAAATGTTCATCAAAGAGTAAGCCTCTAATTTGAACACAGGTACCTATTCCTGAAACACAGATAGTTAAGGAGTCAAAACCCTTTGGAATAAGTAGGTTTAGAGATCTGTTACCTATGAATATATATTTCAGAGTATATGGAAATTGGCTGAGGAGATATTTGCACATGAGTGAGATTTGGATGGAGATGTCTTCCAAATGTGCAGTCACACACCATGTGGTAATTCATGCTATGAAAGATGCATGTAATTTTCTTTGTCCACATTTGCTCATGTTTGGTTGTTTCAACATAGACTCCAATTCAACACTGAGTTTTAATTACTACCTAGTTTGTTATATCCTCAGGGTGCTTTGCAATGCAATTTTCTATGGCTAAGTTTACTTTTTTGGTCAATAGTTACACTATATCACACTATCCTATTTTAATTTTTAATGATTTATAACTATGGACAAAACAACCAAAGCCTTGCTTCAGTCTTTAAAAACATATAAGGAGTTTGGTTTCAGGAAAAGTAGAATCATTACAAATAAATTTAAATCTGATTCTCCTGGTGGTATCATTTTAATCTTAGCTGCAAATCAAAAACAAAATTATTTTAAAGTTACTTTTGTGAACTATTATATTTTGAAAGGGTGGAAGATCTTATTGAGCTGCCTTCAGGCTTATGAAAAACTCTGAGGAAAAAAATCAGTCTTAGATACTTTTCCAAAGTGCTCAGCCAGCAAGGAGATTTTGCAACAGACCTATATTTAGCACCCTGTACAGCACATTCCCGAGAACTAGTACAACCCACACTTTTGCACAGGACAGTCATCATGTCTGGTCTTACAATAAAAGGATCTTAAAATGAAATTGGTAGCCCCCGGCCCATCATTTAGGAACATAGTATTCTTAATGAGAAATTAAAAAAGAAACAAGTCTTATTTTATCCACAGCACTGTGTTGTTAATTGCATCTTAAGCCTTGGCTACCTCATTGTTCAACTTTTATATGCATGTACAGATTAAACCTGAAAGGAAATAATAATCACAAAAGCAAACCAGGGTAAGATCTGTACTAGGTCATTCCCATGGCAGAATGGATAAACTTTTCTGCATAATAGGTTAGCTTTGTAACACTGTAAAAAAATATAACTGAGATGATTAAAAAGTAAGGTGGCAAAGTTTATTTTGGTTCATGGTTTTGAAGTTCTAAGTCCACAATCAATCAGTACTGTTGCTTTTAGATTTGGGTGCCCATGGTGGAGCAAATATGTTGATCTGCAGCCAGGAAACAAAGAAAGAAAGAAGAAGGGACCAGGGTCCTAATATCCACTTTGAGGTCATGTTGCCAGAGATATTTCTTCCTCCCAGTAGGCCCCACCCACTAAAGGTTCCATCACCTCTAATCATACCACAGACTAGACAGACTAAAGACCAATCCTTTAACATGTTGGACATTCAAAAGCCAACCATAGATAGCACCAGGCAAATCTAAGCATACAGCATTTCAGAGATATTTGCAGAAGAAAGACCCTATGGAAATATGGAAATAGATTAAGACTTAAAGTATTGAAGCTGTGTGTGATATGATGGCAAAAGCCCTGGGCTCAAGCACAAGATTCTTAATAGCCAAGAGTTTAGGTCATTGTCTACCGTGACCTTTAGCAAGTCACTCAATCTCCTAGATTAATAGTTCTTCATGAGTAAAATAAAAGATCAAGACTAAATAGTAACAGCAGTATCACATATTTTCAAAGGTTTTACTCTACACATTTCCTGATTCCATCTTCATACAATTTTAATGTATGTTTATGATAAATTCATTGGATTCCATTTTATTCCATTTGAGAAATTACAGAGAAGAAGAAAATCCCAATTAAAATAAAAATCTTAGATGACAAGCAATTATACAACTTCAGCAGTTAATTACACTAAAAATTAAAAGCCTGTGTCCTGCATATTTTAGGTCAAGAGGCTGACTAACAATCTCTCATCTACCTGCATCTTTCCTATCATTTAGATGTGGTAGCATCCTTCGCATTTATTACACATTCTAGGAACCAAAATTCACAGAAGAAAATTAAGAAGTAATCTTTGTCCATAACTGACAGAAGGAGATGGAGCCAGACTGTAGGGCCTGGTATGCTAATGTGGAGGACGTGAACGCACACCGAGCCTCATTCCTAATCAAGAGATTTCTGGATGAAATGTGTCTCTAGAGAAAAGAAGCTAATGAAACATTTGGGATCATAAGGAATTCTCAGGAAGAAAGAGAATAGGTGTGGAAGAGATGGGATCTCCTATTCTAAAGACAAATGGACTCAAAAAGGTAATAAAATCTTTGGGCCAGCCAGGCAGTTTATGAGTAGAATTTAGTGAGAGCAAAGCAAGGATTTGGGTTTCTAAGGCTAAACTTTTATGTTTTTGTACTTTTGTTCTCAGCAGCAACAACAAACAAGAAAAAAATTATATTTAAGCCCTTAAAAACTCAAACTCACCAAATCAGAATTTCCAGCCCTAATGCCTTAATGAAATTCCTTTAAAAAAAATTGAACTTGACAAATACTGGAGTAAAATATAGAGAAATGTGTATCTGTGGTGCTGGTAGCAGTTATTCTCCCTATAAAAGTGAGAAATGTTTTGCATGAACTGAGTCACACCAGGACAGGGATGTCTAGAGAGTTGTGGTTGCTACTTGTTCCCATCAGGGCTTTTCCCTATAATTCCTTCCTTCATTATATTTTTGAGACTTTAAAAGGAAGAGTCTTTCCTTAGGAAATATCTAAAAATCCAGTTTTGTAATAAATATTTTAGGTGGTAAGAGAATAAAATTTATTCAAGAAAACTGAATCAAAATATCAATAAGGCTTTGTGAAAAGGGAACATGAGGCTTTGTGTAGCCGAGGGTGATACGATTAAGGTTCTGCTGGGAAATTTGAAAGGTGGAATGAGATGGATACAGCCATTTAGTAAAGAGCCAGTTATTCTGGTGAGGAATGTGGACTTAATTTGAGGGTGGCAATGAGCTGACTGAGCTGGGTCAGTATTTTATAAGGGGAAATTAAATCTCAATTTTGAAAGATAATTTGTATCAATGTAGATACTGGGTTGTGCTAGGGAGAAACCAGAAGGGGTGGGTTAGGAAGCTGCTATAATAATCTAGTTAAAAGATGGAGGACGGTATCAATTAAGACAATATTTCTAGTGAAGGAAAGAGGGGAAATAAATGAGATATTTGAAAAGCAAACACAGTCTTAGTGAAAGATCAAGTATGAGGATCATAAAATTTTAAGAAGCTTGGAGAGCTAGGTGATTATCCTATCAGCTCAGGTAGAGAAAACAAGACTGAATTGTTGTTAATGTTTGCCAACGTTGCTTAGTTTGCTGGATGCCCGGGGGAACACACTCTTTCAGTACATTTGAACCACATGGGAGGATGAGGGCAACAGAAGGTTGGGTTTATCATAGCTTGTCTAAAATTCTCTTACTTCAAATGCTCTACCATTCTGTAATCATGTTTCTTTTCTTCCTTTCATCTCTTCAGCACTGAAAAGTAATCAAAACTCCTCTCATTTCAAGGTATTTTATATATGAAATTGTGCTGGTAAAGGACTTCAGGACAGAATTTATGTCATTCCACCAGCCCAAACCACGTAAGGGAGTATTCCAGAGTAGAAAAATAAAGAAAATATAGATATATTTCAAAAATTTAAGTTTTATAATCAAAACATTAATATTAATCTCACTTCTTATTATGCAATACTTTCAATTCTCCGGAATATTTTGTTTAAACGGTTACCTATAAAAAGTCTCCAACGTAAACTATTTTAAATATACTTTATTCACATAATTTAAGGACAATGAAATATTCTTTCACACCTTGATTTTAAACACAAAGAAGATACCTTTCGCATAGTGGTATGATTTCAGCAAGATAATTTATTGTTCTATTCCGTTGCTAAGAATGTTGTCTTCTTAGCTTGTATGTTGTCCACTGAGATTACATGTTGAAGATGCCTTCCATACAGCACTTTATACGATTATGGGTAATAAGCAATAACAGAAATGTATGCAGTTTTGCAAAACTGAATGCATTTTATGTATGTTGGTAAATAATTTAAACTACATTCAAGGTATCTTTGTCGTTTCTCAAACATAAATAACTAAAAGTTTATTATCTCAACTAGTAAAATTTAAAAAGTAAAATGTATCCTTTTTTTGATCCAATTAAAAATTCTCAGAAGAAAGTATGGATAATATTTGATGACATAAAGTAGCTAAGTTCTATCTGCATAATGACAATTGCTGATTTCCCTTTGCTTAATCTTAATCTTTTTATTCACTTGCCCCCTCAAATATTCATCAGGAAAGTCAACAAAAATATAATCCAAATATTTTCTCTTTTTTTCTTCTAATCCATCCTAATTCAAATAATAGCCATCCTTACCTGGAGCCTTGATTTGCTTCTCATTTCTTCCATTCTTGCTTATCCAAAGAAGAGATTCTCTATCTAGAATAAAAATGGAGCATTCCATTTAGCTATTTGCAGTCCTCCAACAGCCCACATTGCACATTAAACAAAAGTTAAACAGCTTTACATTGTTCAAGTCCATCATAATTTTGTGGCTGTCTATGTCTTTAACCTTAATTTGTCCTCTGCTAGCTAGCCTTTATTCTCCAACCATTGCCCTAATCCTTCACATACACCATGTCTGTTCCCAACTTAAAGTTAAGGAATAGCTCCTCTTTCTACTTTCAACACTACTCCCTTCATATTTACTTCAGTGTTTCTTTCTTGTGTTTAAGATCTCTCAGCTTATAAAAGCCTTTTTTTTAACCTATCAGCTTGAAGAAACTATCACTCTCCTGTCAGCATTTTTTAATTCTTCCACAGTATATGTGTGCTATTACTCATAGAGAGTTCTTTTGTTTAGTTACTTGCTTAGTGTCCATATTTATTCTTTTATGTAACATTAAATCCCAGGACTGTTCATGAGAGAGATGATGCCACAGTGGAGAGCATAGTCATAGCATCAAATGGATAATCAGTCAAAGGTTTGAATCCTGCTACCACTGGAAAGTTAACAAAACTTACTTTGCCTCAGTTTCTCTATGAAAAATAGAGATTAAAGCAGTTCTTACTTCATAAAACTCTTAGGAATATTACATATGTTAGAGAGGGACTGGTGCATTTTAAGCATCTTAGAAATGCCACCAGTAGTTCACCTTGGACCTCAACACTTGGCACAAGTAAGAACAAAAGTATTTAAAAGATACAAAGAATGAGCAGATAATAGTTTTTATTTATATTGTTGTTTTCTTTTAGAAAGGATTTATTTTCTCCTTTATTTCATTCCTAAGGTGTAGTTATATACCTAGTGAGAATTAGTTTTTAAACTTGTAATCCAACTCCCCATGGATGTGTATATTAGATTACTCTGGACTGTCAGTAGTCTTTCCTATTAATGGAACTAATAATTATTGAGACTTAGAAGCCTACAGAACTGTAAGGAAAAGAGAAAGAAAATAACAATAATTTATCAGTTGTTTGTTGATTTAGTTGCTGTCTCTGTGTAACTCCACAGCTGCAATACAAGGCAGTTTCAATTCTAACCTGGGGAGAATATAAATTATGGCTAATTGAAAGTGCCAGGGAGATCTGAAAGATGACAGAAAGCAATTACCCAGATTGGGTGTGTGCCAAGCACTACTGGTTGTGTCTGCTCTTAGAAATACTATGGAGTTTTATGTGGCTAAATCAACTTTATTGGTAAAACATGCCTGCTAGAAATAGTGCCTCAGTTTACCACAGTCTCTTCACAGCCCTCTGTTGCCTGGATTAGCTGCTAGGAAAGGAGTATACAGACACTTCTTTCTCACACACAACCATATATTTACATGGATTTAACCTCATTTCACCAAAAGCCCAAATGTGCTCCCGGTTTCCCAGTGCTTTAGGGGACAATTTATGTCAGAAACCACAGGCTGTTGATTCAGTTTTAGGTTGGAAATCCTGCTGCTTCCTCAACCTTAGGGATAGAATAAAACGCAATCTGGTCTTCCCTTAGGCAAGAAGATGAAATTATAATATATTATGTATATAATATATTATATTATTATATATTATGTATATAATATATTATAATTTAAAGGCTATATGCCTTTAAAAAACATTTTCTTAAAGTGTCTTGGGTCTTAATTCCATGGGCTATAAAGAATACTTGCAAGTTTTTGTCAGGTTTTCTTTTTCTCTGAGATGCTTTTGTGTGTGTGTGTGTTTGTGTGTGTGTGTGTGTGTGTGTGTGTTCATTAATTTATTTTAAAGGTGGAATAAATGTAGATTCTTCCTAATACCTATCAACATTGTATTTTTTTTTATTTATTACCACTGACCATTCAAGAGATTAAATCCTTCTAATACATAGCACAACTTGTCCCTAACTAAGTAGGGATTCTAACTGAGGCCCAGGTGATCACACACTACTATTCTTTCCATGATACTCTACTTTTCTGAAGACTAACTAGACTAAAAAATAGAGAAGACTGAAAAACTGAATAAAGTATTTAGAAACTTTACCCTTTATACTTAGAAATGCATAAGGTCATAACTATTGGAGATATTCCCCCTCATACCTCTGCTTATTTCTAGAGCCAAAGCTGTGTTTATTGCTGAGAATCCTGGGCATCTGAGGGTGTCTGTGCCTTGTAAGTGATCTCCTAGGAAGAGTTTGCACACAAGGAGCCAAGTGGCTGGAAAAAAAGTCATTTCATTGGATAAGAATCACATGTGACACACTAGCCTCCAAAAAGCCAGAGATAATTCTAGCCTTTACCATACCACAATGAAACTTTTAAACCTTCACACATTATACCCCATTCCATATTGCATATTTGCCAATTATGGCATATCTGATTCTCCTGTTTGAGCTTAAGTGAGAGGCTGTTTTTGACTCATTTCTGCATCGACCGTGCCTTGCACAGGGCTCAAAGAAGGGTAATATGATGGCTGAGAGCACTAGCTCTGGAGACAGAGAGTGGGTTTGAGTCTCTACTGCACCACTTACTAGCTGTGTGAATTTCAACCAATCAGTTAATTTCACTATAAACTCAGATTTCTCATGTCTACAACAGAGATAACTGTTGCAAAGTTCCATTTTAAAGATTAAATGTATTAATATCTGTGAAATTCACAGAAAATTTCTCCTATTATGGTTAGAAACTTATGGGCTATATCCTAGCTTTGACCTTGTAATCTGTTTGGTTTGCTGTCCAGGATGTATAAAAGAACAAAATCTGAATTTAAATGTGTTAAGAAACGAGATTTGCTCTCTACCATTTCTTACATTCAGTACTACTCAATTCTGTCTCATCTGTCATACTTCCAATAATTTGTTCTAAGACAGTGATAAAATTGCTTAAAAGGACAAGGACAAGGACTTTAATCCATTAGAATGACGTAGAGGTTTGATTCAACACTTCTTGGATGCAATTTTTCAAACAACTGTGAATCCATGACAAAGTTTATCACCCACAATACATTTTTATGTACACAATTTTCTTAAAGCCAATCCTTGTCTTAATTCAAAATAATCTTTGTAGAATAACCATTCTTTGCTAAAGTTACATTAATGTGTGCACAAAACCTGAGTTTATTTAATGTTACTATGGTTACTGTTCACTGTAAACAATATTACAATTTTTTTCCTTTGTAAATGGTATTCTGCTTCAGAAATATTTTCTAAATTAAAATTTAAATATAAAATATCTTTCTTTTTGCATGAATAGATATTTATTTTATCATTAATATTAGTGTCTAAATGGGACTCTATCATGGGAATATCATAATCTAGACAGGCTTCTATTAATGGCCACTTTGATTTGTTCTAATTTTCATCATTATTTTAGAATAATATTTTTAAATAAAAAAGCAAAACATTTGTACAGAAAGCTTAATGTTCATTATCAGATCATATCCATAAGATAAATTCCAAAAAAGTATTATTTCTAGGACAAATATTTTCAGGTTTTCTTGCTTTCCTAAAATATTAGCAAGTTTTTCTCTAGGAAAACTGCACATATTTGTACTCTTGACAAGAATGGGTGAGAAAGTACGTTTAAGTATTCCTCTGATCCCGGATAAGTGACTCTTTTGCCAAATTTGTAAATGAAAACATGCCATTTCAGTATAGCTTTAAGATTGTTTCTTTGAATTTTATCAAAGTTAAATATATCTATAATGTTTTATTGCTTACTTATACATTTTGTGCTATTAATTGTTCATTCATATCCTAGTTGAAATTTTCATTTTAAATTGAGTTTCCATGTTTTCTGGATAATCTGCCAGAATATTTCAGATACTTAGACAGTCCTGTGCTTTATAATGACACTTTGCAAGGTATTTTCTGTTTGGTTATTTGTACCATTACCCATGTTTACAGTGAAAAATCAGATAATTCTCCACAGTTTCCACTAGTTAGTTCCAGTTTTCAAAGTCCATTTCTCCTTGATATTTAATGAGTAGTCATCCACTCCATCAATGTTATATTTTTCTATTTAAATTTATCTCTATTATACTAAAATTTAATTAAGTATACATATTTTAGATTTCATATTTGATTGTACTACCCATGTAAAAATAATCTTTACCACTTGTATATTCAGGAAGAGTATAGGATATGCTTTATATGAATGTGGGCTCTTGACAATTTTCTTTCTTTTTTAATTTATTCCATCACTTTGTTTCTTTTGGGTTTTCAATGCCTATTTGATTCGATCTTAATAGTTTCTACGCTCCTAGAAAATAAAATATTTCTTAGAAAATTTAAAATGTGGTTATAGAAAATTGACATGTTATTCTCTCAATTTCAAATCACCTCTGTCATCTCTAAATATTGATTTTATTATTTTATGTTGTGTGTTACAGGTTTCCCAGAAGTTTGTCTACTTTTTTTTTAAAAAATCAAATCTTAGAATTAACTATTAATTATATTTTTTTCTTATTTGTTGCTGATCTTATTGTACTGTGCCTTAATTTATTTTTTACAGCTTAGCTCACTATCCTTTTCCATGATCAAATACTTACTGAATTTTATTTGACATTTAATAATGAAGTAATAAAAGGTAAATTTCTCAAATGTATTTTTATCAATTATGTTTTCTTTTCTTGTCCATGTATTCTGCTTTGTCCTGTTTCTCAAGATGTTCAGAAAACTTTTATCACTAGATCTTTTCTCTAACCTCTGTCACTATTTGCAATTATCAAATGATTATCAAATGATTCTGCCATTGAAGAAATTCTCCTTTGAAAAAGATTCAAATTTTCAATTTTGTTTAACAAGATTTTTTTAAGGTTAAATTTTTTCTCTCTTCTTCTCTCTTTCTGTCTCTATCTCTATCTCAGTTTCAGGAGTTTTTGCCAGGCTTTCTAAACTTTTAATTTGTTATTTATAATGACATACAATTTCCTTCACATAGAAAAGAGGGTAATGCACACAGACAAGCAGAAAGAGATAGAAACCCTGGTAGTTCCTGGTCTTAGGTTGTCTCTGGGTCAAATTGCATGCCCTATTCTCACAAGTGGGTTCATGGTCTCTGGAATTGTGAACAAATGTTCTAGTTCAGGAAGTTGTCATGATATGTGGGATAAAAAAATCTTGTGAAGTACTAATATAATTTTCTGAATGTATACCTGACAGAATGCCCTTCTGTAGCTTAACTTGTAAACAACCACTAAGTCAAATATGTCATCATCCAATTTCCTTAAAATTCCATGGTTTGACTCTGGAAATAATAGGTGTAGCCAAGGACTTCCTCAATAGAACCCCAACAGCTCAGCAACTAAAAGAAAGTATGGACAAATGGGACTTCATAAAACTAAAAAGCTTCTGCACAACAAAAGAAATGGTCTCCAAACTGAAGAGACCACCCACAGAGTGGGAGAAAATAATTGCCAGCTA